CATACCTGTGAGTCTGTTGCCAAGCGTTGAAATTTCGACCACGTGACCACGGGGATGAAGCCAGGGTTGAAACCGTCAAAAGTGGTCGTAAGTCACTTTTTTCAGTGATTTTGTAACTTGGAGCGGCCACTAAACAAACTGTCATAAGTTGAGGGCTACCTCTGTTCAAGTCATTCAAACATCACTGTAGCCAAATCACAATTTTTTACCTGCTTTATAATCAATGTTGGTAGAGCCCTAAAGTCAGAATTTCTCAACTTTAGTGACTTTAAAAAGGGTGGACTTCGACTCCCAGAATTCCGCAGCCACCACACCTAGAAACAACCACAGAGAATTAAAGGAGCAGCCCTTATATCAGTAAGCTCCTGACTTACTGCCATTCAACAGCATTGAAAAAAGTGACTTATGGCTATTTTTCACGCATACGACGACGGCAGCATCCCCACGTCCACGTGATTGGCATTCGGATGCTTGACAACGGACTCACAATTACGACAGCTGCAGTGTCCGTGGAGGCTGGGGGTGTCACGCGATCCCCTTTTGTGACCTTCTCACGAACAAAGTCAAGGGGGGGACCCGATTCGCTTAACGGCCGCCTTACTAACTCAACCGCTGCCGTGATTCGCTTAATGGCAAGAAAAGTCATCAAAGGGGCCGAAACCTAACACATTTCTCACCGAGCAAACCTAAATTTTGGGCTGGATTGTGGACATACCTTGAGGACTACCTGTATCTCCATTGAGGCTGGTTTAACCACGTTAGGACTTGAAGATGGTGGAGATTCGGCCATTCCCTCCCCAACTGCCTCCAGCCTTTTGCTAACACAACTTCACAGCTTTGGGGGGGATGCAAAGTTGTTTTCCCACGACTAAATCCGCTTGTCCTTTCGGACAATCGTCCTGGGAACTGCACAGAGGAAGGCAGGACTGCGCTCCACGCTCAGCTGTAAACCAAGGTGTCTCCTACTTCACCCAACTTTAAGACGCGGGGACTTCAACCCCCCCTTTAAAGTTGGTAAAACACCGACGGAAGGGATTTGAACCCGTTTGGCAGAAGTGTGCTTCCACCACTATGCACATCAGGGCTGCGTGAAGCCTCCATGTCTCAGGGCAGTGTGTCTCCACAAAAGAACAGCTGGGGGGCAGAAGGTGTATGAGTGGGTTTGTAACCTTTTACCCTCCCTCTCAGTGGTGAGTTGCTGTCGGGTCGGACCAGTACGGCCATATCGGTAGTTGCCCGGAGCAACTGAGAGCATACTGGTACGGTCCCTCATTTGGCCCACCCACCCACCCACGCTCTATAGCTCTATTTGTGGCCAAAGGCACATTACACAGCGTGTGGTGCCTGCGCGAGCCCCAACAAGCAGCTGGTTGTCGCAGGGGCGGTGGATTGCGCATACGGGCACAGCGCACGTCAAGCGCGTGTGCAAACAGACCGCGATCAGTGTACCGGTAGCGACG